ACTAAAGTTTGAGAAATATTAATACACGCAAAATAATGTTTGCATTTCTAAAGTTAAAGTTGTTTTCCGTTTTTGAAAAATGGAAGATATGGTACTTTTTTCCATGAACGGCCACATTTTTTAAATTTTTAACTGTACGCAATATTCATTAACAAATATACTCTAGTGATTCCCCTATTAACATAGATATGTTATTAGGCTGAATACAAGAAATTTCATGTCACCATTTTTGTGTTACACTTTCATTTTAAGTTAGCAATAAGAGATTATCAAACAGATAATATAATCATATTACCTGTACATGCGAAAAAGTATAAAATAACGATATAAATACAATACATCAGCAACAGTTGTGTTTAAAATCGTGATTCAAATTGTTTATTATTAAATTTAATGACAATTTGGATATCAGTGTAGTATGTACAAATATTTTTATATAATAATAGCAGTACTTAAACTTGTAAAATAAGTCAATCCTAATGATTCGTAATTCAAATTATTGTAACTGATCAGAAAGTGGCTGAGTTAGGAGATTATTGCTAGCGTTTACTTCCCAAATTATGCCTTCAATTAATCTGTATGTGCTAGCACTCTTGTCTATAGCTTTCAGATTACAAGTTCCATCATTGTCATCAGCAGTGGTTATATATGAACTCGGGTACGTTACACTTCTGAATAATCCTATAAAACGACACATCAGGAAGAAATCCTTGTCACTTTTTCTGTGTTTACCTTAAAAAAATAAAATACCTTGCTTAGCTCATTTTTGTTAATACTTTTCTTTATTTGCAAGACTTAACAAATACACGTCTATAATTAATAAATGAATCGGGCATTTGAGAAATATGATATAATATTATACAGCCATATCACTAACATATATTTAGGTATATATATGTATAATGCATATTATGTAACGGTAAGAAAAATCTATATGAATATTTATGTATTTCGTCATGAATTATAGTTTTTATAGCTTCTCTAGTTATATTTCTTCTTGTAATTCCTAAATCAAGGAGAGTGACGCCTTCATAAACGCCTTAATAACAAATACAAATTATTAATTATGAGTTGGTTGCTCTTGATAGAGTTCCGTTATATTTAAAAAAACTATAATGTTGAAAATGTATGTATAAACTGTCATTTGTATCTAAAAGGTAATTTATTGATCCAAAAATGTACATTAAAAACATCTCCCCCGTTAATACAAAAAAAAATCAGCCTCAACGTGGAATTGAGAAAATAGTGTTTATACAATTATGGGTTTTTCGATTATATTCTTTGGTTTCAGACACATATCCTTGCGGTATATTATAATGAAGTGTGTTCATTGTATTTTTTTTTTTGTGTCTGGGCTTACGGTATTATCTTCGAAAGTGCTGAACCGATATATTTTTCTGTTAAAATTGTATGGATCAGTAATCGTACCTGTGGTCATTCATATGTACATCGGTTAAACAGGATGACCTACTGAAGTACGTGCTAGAGAACACGAAAAAGATGTGAACTACAAGAGAGGTCAAGAAGGTCACAGCGTAAACTTTGACGAAATTAAGGTCTTGTCCAGATAATCGCATGGTGAGAGAAGCCATAGAAATTGAAAAATGGACATCAAACTTTAGCCGGGAAGATAAATGGAAATTGATCAAAACGTGGAAACCAGTGATACATCTAATTGACGAAGACGTCCAAACCGGAGACCAAATGGAACGATGAGAGTAGGAAATACAACGAGAAACTATTGATAGCAGAAATGTAAATCAGCCGGTTGAAGCAAAGGGGCGTGGCCGTAGAAAACAGTTGGCAGCGACAGGAGGTGGCTGAGAGTGCGGCGGGGGGTGCGGTATATAACCCATGCCTGCGGAAACAGATCAGTCAGTCGACAGGAAACCACGGTGCGAGCAACATCGAACCATAATCCTGAAGATGGAGTGTGCAAATATTCCGAAACGTTTGTAAACAAGTCAAGCTACTTGAATGAGAGTATCCGCAAATTGTATAAATTGTGTAAATAATTTTACACTTTAACTGAAACTTACGGACTACAGCTTAGTATAACTTTATGAAAAGTAGTCTAATCAGCTCCTAATTTTTTTGTTTTTATTAGGTGTAGTTTTAGATCTTAAAGTATGAAAATTAGACTAAAAATGTTGATAATTTAACGTATACGATTTTCAAAAATGTGTAGTCATCTATTTTCAATGAAAAAGGAGAAAAATTACACTTTGACCGTAGTATATTTCTAGGTGGATATGGAAGTGACTCGATAGTTATGTTTTAAATTACCATACATGGGAAACACCGGCCACAATATTGTACATAAAAGATCGGCACTAATAAATGTATGTGTCTAATACTCCGAGTATAATTTGAAACGCATCATAGCTTTTACAACGCATTTATCATTTTTTTTATATAATCAATAACATAAAAAAAAAATCATAACCACTTTTCTTGGAAATTATTTTTTCCCTATTTTTTTTGGCAAAGTAAAGTTTTGGCTAAGATACGACTTGAAGAGCTAATCAGCTAATAGTAGCAATTTACCAATCAAAACCTCCAAAATATTCACTTATACTTGTATTTACTTTCGTTTATCTCGGGTGCATTATAACCTATAACCAAAATATAAAATAATTACAATTAAAAAAATCAATTTTTTAAAATATTTTATCCGTCACAGTGATTTTAAAATTTAGAATATTTAGACAAATTATTCAATGTAAAAATGTAAACTTTTAATATCCAGGATTGAAAATTCGTTTAAGTTCAAATGACATAGTAAGTTCCGCCAAATGTCCTCGTCGTGGCGGCGATCACAACATCAATTACAAGGGCTGTCCTATTTACAAGTCTTTTCTAAATAGGGAAAACAGGCAAACATTCTTTACGCTTCTAAAACTTCTAGACTTCCACAAATTTATAATCCTAATATCTTCGCCCCAATCCAATCTTGAAATATACTCTAACGCTGTTATTTTTTCTTCCTCTATCTCCAATACCCTATCCCATTTCAATTCCGAAAAGCCATTATTAGCCTTTTATTAATTCGCTGCCCACAGTCCTCAATCCTCTATCTCATTTATAATTATTTTCAATTTGTATGTAATTGTATTAATTACATTTAGTTTATATGGGACTTCCATCGAATAGTAATTGTTTTTATTTAAAACTATATTATAATGACACTTAATAACTGTTTGTATAAAAGAGTTGAGCTTTATATTTACCTATTTTAGTTCTTATTTTTGATCGTATATGACCCTCGCATCGCAATATTCCTAAATTTCCAAACAAAATACATTTTAATGCACATCATTCCATTAGATAGAAATATAAAGGTTATTGCGCGTTGGCTTCATGTTTTTACATTCTAAAATTAAAATAAAAACATTTATAACTATTGTATATCAAACAAATATGTTGGAGTATGTCCATAAAATATTAAGAAAATAATCACCCGGTATTGCCAAAATAAGCGACATGTCCTCTGAAATTAACACAACATAAATGAAGTTAAGTATAAAATACAAATGTCTTATGAATTGGGAAAATAGATTTAAATAAAATGATTGGACACTATGATGTTAAAATGGCTGAATTGAAGCAGATGTGGAGAATAGAATGAATATAATGATTAGACGGGATTAGAAAAGGTAATATCAGCGTTAATTTCCGGTATGATTCTATTTAGATTTTATAGTAAAATTTGCGATTTACATCACTGATAAATTTGCTCAAAAATAAATTTTTGCAGTTCTGATATCAGAATGTTATTACTATGTTATTACTTAACATATAAAATATAAATTATCAAAATTATAGATTTTATATGCGCGATAAAAGTTTAGTAATCTTGTAAAACTTTTTTTAAGTGATATTCTTGCGACTTTCGGATGTGCATTTGTGACGACCGAAACAGTAAAATCTAAAGATATTTTAATGTGTGCCATTATAATTTGTTTGCATAGCTGTTATTATATTAGTATAACATATTTATATTACTCTGAATAAGTTTAGACTATTATCTTCTTTGGTTTTGGTGTCTTGATACTTTTAAAATTAATGTTGACATTAGTTTTATATGCTTTTAAGTACATAGTATTGTGCATAAAATTATACCGATAAAAATCTTAATAAACGCAGGTATAAGTGAAACAATAAAATGCATTTTTTTCTGGAAAAAGTTAATGACATAAGGCTTTGATCTTTGTCTCAGGGTATTTTCTTTTAAATTTCACACCTGGTAAATTATAATTAACTCAATGTTTAAAAACTAATATTATATATTTATATAATGTGATTTAAATTTGATAAAATATCATATAGAACCTAATATAACGCAGATCATAATATAATACACAAGTTGTCCAAATTAAGTATTTTCAACCAGATATGGTGTTATTTAATTATAACTAAAAAAATACTCAAATTTTGGTTCTATTGATTCCGAACGGGTCATATAATTTGCGCATGAAGAGTCTACAAGTAACTTTTGACGTTTTATTTTTAAATTGGATAATAATCTATTGAGCATTTTGATAACCGTTTAGGAAGTTTTTTTTAATGTAAAAAAACTAAGAAAATGATTTAAAACAAAGAAAATAATACAATAAATTTGCTATTTCCGAAAAAGATGTTTTTTAAAAAATAAATATATAAAAACATATTATTGTTGTAACAATATTTTCTTAGCTCTTTTTTAATTACACTTTTTTGTCTCAGTTCCGGGTTCAAAATTCATTGTTTTAAGATATGGATAGTTGATATTTTGTACATTAAAAACCGATATTGTTTAACTGTTTAATTAATTTTTCAGTATTACCTATATATATAAACGTATTACTTATCCACAGCCTTATTAAATAATAAAATTAAATAATGTATATATTTAAAAAAAATATAAAAATACTTTTTAGCTTTATGAATACTAATGGCTCTTATTTAGTGTGTATTAATTTATTTCCATAAAGATATACTTATAATACCTAATTTTTATAGTTAGGCTGCTAATTCTTAAACTATTCAAAGTTTTTAAGTAAAAATATTTAAGCTACAAAATAGTTTTAGCTCTCTTTCCTCCGAGGCCAGATTAGGTTTAAGGGAAGGTCTGCAGGCGTTCGTCTCCCTTTAGGCTGGTGCAAGATAACAGTAGTCAAAGATCTGAACTTAGGGTAATCTGCGTAGGGTCCTGGTACTCTTTCTTAATAAAATGTAATTCTAGCGCGGTGTGTTTAGGCAAGTTTTGCTTTTTTTATTTTGTATTATTCAAAACATATTTTGTTTTTTTAAGCTGATCTCACGGTATGTGTCTCATATAATTATCATCCGGTACAACTGCTGACCATATATAACAAACTTTAAATAGGACCCTGGTACTTTGGAAGTATATTTGTGATGTAGCTGAAAAAATTGCTTAAATTATAAAATATTTTACTATATTCATCTGTTGTTAACCGCTGAGGATAGAAACATTGCTCCCGAAGTACGGTCGAGTGCATTTTTGTGCTTAAGATTTTTTTTTAAATATTTCATGATTTTAGATTCGATGTACACCTGAGAAGGTGTTGTTTTTACAATAAGTTTTTTTTGTGTCTGGACCCATGATATCTTTAAGTCTTATACATTTTTAACGGATTGATAGGGTACCAAATCTTTATTTACTTCTAAACACATAAATATGCGAACAAGTAATAAATAATAATAATAATAATAATATAAATACCATATATACTCAACGAATGTGTTTATAGTCATGATTAAGACTGTTTATTATTGAATACATTACATTGAATATTAGTTTGGTATAACACAATTATTTAAATACAATGACAATAGTAATGTTAAACATAAAATACTTAAATTTTATATAATAGAGCTTAATGCAAAAATTATTCAAATATAATAATAATAGTACCATAAAATAAGTCAATTCTAACAATTTCTGATACAAATTATCCTAACTGATCAGCAAGTGGTTGAATCAGGTAATTATTTTCATTCATTTCCCAGATTGTGCCATCAAAGGATCTGTATATTAAGGTAATGATGTTGTTTTTAGCGTTTAGAGTACAAGTTTCATTATCGTCAACAGCATGCGTTATACATAAATCTGGGCAATGTATACTTCTCCACAATCCTATTAAACGACACAGCAAAGGGAAATTTAAGGTGTTTGGATCTCTTTCACCTTAAAACAAATATATAAAACTTATTATTCCTCAAATTTGTAAAAAGTACATTAAATAAAACAACATATAATTTATTTCATAATTAAGCTTATTAGAAACTTAACTAAAGTTTTACTTTGTTCAACGTGATATGTTATATTGAAGTGTATTTTGGACGATAAGAAAAGTACTAATGATGATTAGTTTTTATATATTTTACACATATCAAAATTTCTCGTCTAATAATAACTTATTATGGAGATATTTGTTAAACAAATAAAATTGGTTAAAAATAATTGAAATCGAAACCAAGATAGTCCATATACAATTAAAAAAGACTTTAACTTCATTGAAAAAATGAAATTTAATCATTATCTTACCAACAAGTGTATATTGATGAAATCGATGAATAGATGTGTGTCAAAAAGTGATCACAAACTTCAACGATAGAATTAATCTATGTAGACTCAATGGAGGAGGAGATAATATTTCAGATGTAGTATTTCATAATTAAATCGGATGAGTTATTATATTTTTAAAACCAGTTTTTTTTACGGGACAGGAACGGAATTTTTTGTACTATGATTATTATAATAATAGTTGTTGACGATTATTGTTTAAATATAACCATTGAAAAAGCAATTTCTTTATAAAGTTAGTACACTTAAAATTATTTAAAACAAAAATTATAAATTTATAGACTATAATATACATATATTTGTAATGGTAAAAAAAGTCTGTACATATATTTACTTATTTCAGCCCGAATTAAATTTTTTGTAGCTTCTCTAGCCATATCCCTTCTTGCGTTCCCATAAACTGAGAGATCAACTTCTTCAAAATCAGCTTAATAACAAATACATAATAAAATAAAATGATTTAGTTGCTCTTGATAGAATTGTATTACATTATAAACTGTAAAGCAGCTGATTAAGTGCAGGTAGGACAAAATTGATAAAAGTTTAGATCATATCTACAAAATTAGTAAAAACGCCGAAAAATGTACACATTTTTTTTAACCTTTTAAGTCACGCTGTAAAATTATTAAAATTAGTAGGATTAGTTCCAAATTAGTATAAAATAGTTTTTAAATGTAATATTTCCAATAGACTTTTACTAACTAATAAAATATTTTAGCCATTTCCCAAAAGGGAAGAAAGTTTATCTTTTTTTCTAAACCAAAAGAAATCTTAAAACCTTTCCGTGCAAACTTTTTTGTATGTATAAACTTTAAGCGTTGTTTTAGAACTCAAAATTTTAAAACAAAATTCTGGCAACAGAAGAGATTCCGGTTTCTTTAAAAATACAATCGCTATAGTAAAAACTGCTAAAAATTAACCTTCTAGCAGCTATTGACCTTCTCAGCACATGTTGCCAACGTTCTGAAAACTTCATGGACATTCATAGGATATCATTAATAATCGCATTAATTATTCTATGATCGATTATCGTGCCTGAACAGCAAACGCGTTTATAGAATGAGGCTTAAAAAGAAGAAAAAATTTCCCAAACTCTTAGGTATGGATCCCTAATGGCTAATGCGTCATTTCATGCCAAATCCTTTCCAACCTCTTAAACAAAAGACAAATTTTAAAGTTCGCAGTATGCATTCGTAACAAGACTAGCAGGCAATGTAAGCTAACTAACAGCCTACTTGTCCTCTCCTGTTTAAATTATACAGTACCAGACACGACCTCCAAACTTATTAACTATAATTGTGATTACCTTCGTTTATATCAGGTCCCTTAATACCTGTAACCAAAACATAAAATATCAAAATATATTTATACGGTTGAAAAAATTAGCTTCGATTGGCATTTTTTTTGCCTGTATAAACTGTAACTTTTTTCAAACTGGACCAATTCCTTCGAGTAGCCACTCTATAAATCACAAATTTCATCTAGTTAATACTTTGGGGGGGGGGTGTAAAATTTGAAAAAATTTACTTCTCCACAGTTAAAATTTGAAATAACAAAAAAAAAACCATACAAGTATAAAAGTTTGAACTTTTACTGGCTATAATTTCGAGAAAAAGAGTCGGATCGAGTTGAAATTTATGAGAATTATTTATTTGGTATGCTCTCACACGTCAGAAGTCTTGAATTTAAATTATACCAATCTCCAATCCCAAATTTTTTTATCAAATCCCACAACATTTTTATGTAAATCTATTCAGAATGATATTATCGAGTTATACTGTGCTTGGTTTGGGCTTTACTGGATTGAAAATACTAACTACTGTTTTGGATCGAAGCGTTTTTTCGAAAATTATTTTATCACTTTCAGTTGTTCCTGTAAGCCTGTGACCTCCCCGTCCCTACTATACTCCGTCCTAACTATGCCCCGACTAGCTTTTTTTTTATATTTTATTTGTAACAGTCATCCCAAAATCTTAAAATCCTAAAACACTGAAAAATTAATCAATGTAAAATAATGAAAACAATTTTAAACTTTTAGTACCTATCCCCAATTTTGCCCAAGGTAGGATAATTATTATTAGTTTAAATTCCAATTGATTATTTTTTGTTTTTATTTAGAACTATACATTTATATATGAATATTGTATATAAATATATATGTCACATTTTATATTTACCTGTTGTATACCTTATTAATGCTCGCAAATGTATCTGGCACCATAAACTCACTAAAATGTATGACAAATACATATGTAAGAAAATGATTATTTTCGATGTACATAAAATATTTACTAAAAAGACTATGAGTGCAAAGTGATGTAAATATGAAACATATAAAGGTTATTACGCGTTCGGTTATAGTCTGCAAAATCTGAAATTAAAATAAGAACATTTCACTTAATGGATATCAAATAACTATGTTGAAATATTTCCATAAAATATTACCCGGTACTGCCAACATAAAATTAATTTCCTCTGTAATTAATAAAACGAACATAATGTAAAGTTTAGTTTTTTATTCTAACATAAACAAGAAGACAAGTAATATACACATATTATGTTTTATAAATCAAAAAAAAAATGTGCTTGGGATACCTATATAAATTATGTGGAGAATAAAATGGCAATAAAATAGAAGAAGAAAAAGAGTAGAATAAAATATAATGATTAAACGAATTAAGACACCAAGGTATAACACTAGACTTGTCTGTCATAACGTCTCCATTTTAATCTTAGAGTAAAATTTAATATTTATTTCGCTGAATTACAATTGCATAAAGATAATTTGTTGCACTTTTTATATCAATTGCACATCATCGTTCATCTGGTATTATAATATCATTATTAGTATTATTTTATTTATTATATAATTATAATTACCCATCGAATAATTTTTATAGTAAATGGCATTTCTTATTACTGTTCGCAATTGATCTAGAATAATAAAAATAAAGGTTTTTCCATAGCTCTATCAAATTTTAAATTTAAATAGTAGCGTATGTGTTTCATTTACTTTTTAAAGTAAGGTGCTAACAATTTGAGTGGTCGATTACCAGTTATAGATAATTACTTTTCAAGTTACTTAAGATTAAATCTTAGGACGGGTGAAACTATGGAGTGTAGTATATTTTTAAATTTGTAATTATCCAAAGCTGTTTATCGATAAATCATTTGATTATTATCAGACAAACATACTGAAAACATTATATTTTAGTGTTTAAATTTTAAACAAATTTTACCTCCTGCAAGCTCGATGTGTTTGTCTGTAATAAATTATACAAATATAGTCTAAACACAAAAAAAAATATTTAATATACAAACAACTCTTTACGTACTGGTTCTGATAACCTCCTTGTCATAGTCATCTGTACAAATGTTAAATGGTGAGTTCTTTTTTTATAGCTATGTACTTGCACTTGTAGAGAAGTTAAAAAATAAATATTCACCTAATGCAGCTAACAATACGTTTACTAAGGTAAGTGACAATATTATAACGTACAAACGTTTCATTTTATTCTGCAAATTATAACAAATAATTAATCTTCTACTTAAGAAGTTCTTTTGTTAGACTCAGTCAATTTATAATTATCAGCTTCAATGAGGAGCTGGTTGCTACAATAATGTATTTAATTATGCATATTTTGACTAGACGATAACCAGTTTTAGATAATTGCTGTTTAAATTAATAAAGGTTAACATTTAAGATGAGAGATGGAATTTTTATCTGCGGACAAAACTCTTTGCACTCCACCTCCCACCCTAAACTTTATACTTAAATAAGTCAAAAATCTCAGCAAATAATTCTTAATATAATGACTTGAATTAAAAAAAAATTAATCTAGCACAAAAGCTATTCCATTTGTCATATTTTGTAAAACAGTCTGTATTATTATTTTACACAGAGTGCTTTTAGTACATTTTTTTGAGTATCTTAAATTAAAAAAAATATATAAAATAATTTAAAAATGAAAACAGTTAAGAGCAATAACACTGTTGTGTTTATAGCGCAAATGAGTATAAAAAAAAAATTAATTTAAAATATTGATTTAAAAATATTCAATAGAACAAAAGTTATTTCATTTGTTTTGTAGATTAACAAGTTACCGCAGGTAAGCACAATACGACTAATATTCACAGACTTCGAATATTATTTTTAAAAAACCTAATAATATATTTATAAAAAACTTACAGTATTTGAAGTATTAGAGTATATATATATATTACTTAAAATACTAAAATTAAAAAGCCCTACATCAGTATTTACAGTAATTATAAATTATGTGTACAATTTTCCGACTTGGTGGTTAAAAAGTTATTGTAAGCAAATACAAAAGTAATCAGTGAAATTTAACAATATGTATAAATAATGTACTTACAATATTGGATAATTATTAACAGTAGAACTTATAAGCAAAATTCACATTTGACCAGCTTGTTAATCTGTTTTGATGTAGTTATCTAACAACCTGTAAATGGGTTTTTATGTCGACCAAAACAGTTAAAATCTAAATATACATTGCAGAGTGTTAATATATATTTATATAGCTATGTTAATATGTTAATTATAATTTATATAGCTGTTTTTTATATATTGTTTTTTTGCATATTTACATTACTCTGACGCAAGCTTAGACTATTTTATTCTTAATTATTGATTTCCATAATCTTCATAAAGTTTATGTTTACACTTGTATGCTTGTACACTTATATTATCGTGTCTGCTATTCTATCGATAAACATCTTAATAAAGTTAGGAATAATTATGAGTGAAACAATATAATATGAAGTTATAATTTTTTTTTTTACGATTTATGGCACAAGGCCCTCAATTTTGTTTAATGATGTATTTAACGTTTCTTACCCTTCAAACCAAAACTTACTATTAATGTGAAAATCATAAGATGTGTTCTGTATTAAATCTCACGATTATTGTACACAAACAGTCGTAGATTTTCTAATATTTCAACCAATTTATGTTAACACTTTTGAATTATTAAAATTTCCTTTATTATCTCAAATCATCCACTAAACATGTATGCCATTACAAGGAATGATTCTATATGAAAAAAAATTTAATATTATAAGGATTCAAAAAGGATTCATACGGGAGGTAGGGTGTAGTCGGGGACATTTAGCATATTTGTGTCTGCAATTATTGTTAATATTGTTTTTATTTATTAAATAAATATTTGCACATCAATGTGCACACGTGTATTAAGCAGAGTATGGTATTAATATACCAAGGTCATGTAAAGCTTATGTTTGTATAAGAATTGCGTCTTACTATATTCAAAATATTGTATTAAACAAATTTCTTGGATTCCCGGCCTAAGGGGTACACTCGAACTGCGCCAAGACTACATAGACTGCTCCCCATTTGTATTAGCAGATATAGGTCAATATAATAGCAGGTGGTTTAATTAACACATGGACTGTGCCCAAACTAGATAAATTCCAAAATAGTTTAAAAAAACTGTCACACATAGATGGCTAGGTACTGTAAATCATTTTTTAAAGCTGTTATTAGTGTAGAACTTTTAATATGTTTTAATTTAATTTAGCCATCTGGACGTTTTCTTTAGAGCACACGAGATGTGCTACCTGCTATTTTGGTACAGTTCATATGCAACAGGTCCAGCCGACCCTAAAACCTCAAGAAAACCGGGGGTTATTTGAGCTACTAATTAAAAACCAAATTTCACATCAAATAAATATTGTAATTGACTAAAATGTTAATTTATTTTACATATTATTTATCTTACATTAATTATATCTTCACTATTGAAATGCATTCTAAATTCCAAAACAACATAATATTATATCATACTGGTTGCCCAAATGATGTATTTCTTAACCAGATATTATGTTTGTCAATGTGTAAATGTGATATGTTTCTTTTGGGGAATCTATCAGTAAATCTGGATGGCTTGGTTTTTAAGTGGATATTAATGTATTGAATATTTTGACTGGTCAATAATACAGTATGCGATTGGTACTATGGCAGGTCCAAAGTAGAAAAATTCAACTCCTTTTACCCAAAAACCGGGAAAACCGAAGACCGAATTGACCGGTTTATAAACTTTCAACTTTGAAGTTGAAATTTGTATAGCTAATTTATTTAATAGGCATGCTTCTATTAATAAATTGCCTTAATTTGAAATTTAAATAATTCTGCACCTTCCCCTTCCCCCCCACAGGGGTAGACATTTTAAAATATTTTTTGGCGCAACCATCAGACTTAAGAGCTAACAATTAGACTGAAGATAGGTCTGATATTCTCTTTTGACATTTTCATGTCTTTGCTCTGGCACATAACCGAAAAAAACGTTACCAAAAGAGCGTTCTTTACACAAGCGTTACAGGGGTTGGGAGATAGGGGGTGGGAGATAGGGGTGGGAGATAGGGGTGGGAGATAGGGTAGAAGATAGAGGTAGGAGATAGGGGTAGGATATAGGAGGTGGGAGATAGGAGTGGGAGATAGGGGTAGAAGATGGGGTAGGAGATAGGGGTAGGAGATAGGTGGTGGGAGATAGGGGTGGGAGATAGTGGGTAGGAGATAAGGGTAAGAGATAAGAGATATGTTGTACATTCAACGTTCAAATTAGAACTAAATGATAAATTCAAAATAAATTAAGGGCCCAAATTCTCTATGAATTGTCTTAAGCCAGATATTAAACACTACAATATTAGCCAGAAACTTGATGTTTTAATATACTAGCTTGTTACTGCTTCTTAATATACTATATCATAATCTATAATTCCACCACTACTCTAAATTTATTCATATATCATATATACTTACAAAAAAAATAAAAGAACACTGAATAATTTGTTAAGCTAAATTAAAAAAAAAATGAATAAAAAACTAAAAAAAAATTACTGTTTCCGCCCAGGATCGAACTGGGGACCTTCTGCGTGTTAGGCAGATGTGATAACCGCTACACCACGGAAACGATGACTAGGTTTTATCTATTCGAATAGTTTTAAGTAGGCAACGGCTAATAAAATTAAGTTATAGATTATGGCGTGTTCACTGTTCACGCTTGTGCAATTAAATTTAATGTGAAACTTGATAGCAATATATTAAATGCAAGTGCACAGAAAAAAATACATAGTTGGTCCAACTAAAATAATTATGGTTAATATAGGGTCCATATGGACACAAATAAATTTCTAGTTGGAATAACTAAATAAATATAGTTGGAACAAATAAATTTGTAGCAATTATACATTTAGTTCGGCTAATATACGTTACACAGTATTATTTTGTTGTGATTAAGGGTTTATTTAAATATTTTATAAGTAGATCTGATATATATATCTATAAAATATTATACACAATAAAATCTGTACTTAAAATTATTTTTTACTGGGATAAAACTCAAAAGCTACAACTGATGGATTTTGAAAGCTATATTTGATTTATTAACTTAAAAATGTAATACTATATAGATATAATGTGTTAGGACAACATAAAACAGTTTTTGTAATTATTTTCTGTCACTAAACTTATGATAAATAAATTGAGAATTCTCAAATATTTACTTTACAATTTAAGCATATATTTTCTCTTGGTATTTAGGTTAGTAAAAAAAAAATGAATTCTGAAAGTACAAAATAATTATTGTAATTATATTGTTTCGCATATAATAGGAACTTATGTTTATTAAGATTTTTATCGATAGAATGTCAGACACAATAATATATATTATACTTAAAAGCAAATAAAACTAATGCAAACATTAACTTTAAGTGAGTGTTATTTAAACCAATAATTAAAATGAATATAGTCTCAAATTGCGTCAGGGTAATGTAAATAATATTTTATCATATTAAAACAAAACTAAACAGCCATGTAAAATATAAATTAACAATAAAATACCATAACAAAAAAACATAACATAACACTCATAAAATTATATTTAGATTTCAGTTTTTCGGTTGACATAAAAACCTATTTACACTTGAAATAAAAAACGTTTAACAAGCTAGTCGAATTTAAATATTGCATATAAGTTCTATCATTTATTAATTGTAATTCAGTAACACTAACCAACTGTCAAGATTGTAAGTACATTATTTTTACTTTTTGTTATGTCTTATTAATTTTTATTTTGTATTTGTGTATTTGCTTACAAAAACGTTTTAACCGTCAAGTCAATTTAATTAAAAATCCCAAGTCAAGTTTACAGAAATTGTATTCATACAAGAATACTTACTTTTTGTGCTATTTATAGTGCCATAACTTATAAAAGTGTAAAATTTATAACTCAAGAATTTTGCGTTAAATCATCTAATGAGGTAATAAAAATAAACTAAACAGCTAAAAATACAATTTTTTTACTCGTATAAATTAAGCTCACGTGTATAAAATGGGCTATAAAACGCGTTGAATTTTTTTATATTTTGTATTTTTCTCAATAAATGAATAAACTGGACATTTTAAAAAGATGTTTGTTATGAATATTGTGATGTTATGATTCATGGAAATTGACCTCTTAAAAATAAAAACACATTGTAAAAACCAACAAATATAATATATTAAGAAATAGTATGATTACAAAAGTTTTAAACTTTTTGATAGACATTTTTAGAACTTTTCATCGATTTTGAAATGAAAAGTAAGACATTTTTTTATCCACCAAAATGCCTTTATCATATTTTCTGCGGTTATGAAGTTATCGTGGATCATAAAAATAAAAAAACACTATTGTAACACCTCAGCTCGGTATTGAAGCCTATAACTAAATAGTGACTTGAGTCTTATATAAAATAATGTAATGTTTATTATTATGTTTGCAGATAAAAATGGAACTTTTATGTATTTTAATATCACTTGCCTTGGTAAATAATTTGGTAGCTGCGTTAGGTGATTATTTTTTTTTGTTTACACTTACCTACACTAGTTAGAATAAGTCTATAAAAAAAACAGTAATATTATTTTACAGATGAATATCATAAGCAAGTTATCATGACCAGTAAGTAGACATTTTTTTCGTACAAAATAATTTTTAAACTTTACTATGTTTGTGTAATTTATTACAGACCAACATATCCAGCGTGCAGGAGGTAAAATACATTTACCAATGTACAATGTTTTAGATATGTTTTTCTGATTATTATCAATTTATTTATAAATTAAAAATGCATACTCAGAACAGTGAGGTCGGAGTACAGTTGGGTCGAGACATAGTTGGGATTGGGAGGTCATAAGTTTACAGGAACTATTAGAGCTGAAAGTGATAAAATCGCATTCAAATAAACGCTTCGATGCGAATCAGTAATTGGTATTTTTTCTCCCAATCCACACAATTCCTTAACACCACTGTACTGACTTTTTATTTCTTAGCTATACATAAAAGTGGTTATGTACCGCAAGTATTTCTTTAGTTTCTTGTTGCTCAAACCGTTATTTGTTTATTCCAGTGCGATTGCCGGAAATCATTAGAAACATTGTTCGCAGACCTTCTTCGATGAGTAAAGTATATACTAAATCAAATTATAACAATGATAAAGCATGGTAGAAGATAAATTAATTTTCAAATGAAATATATGATGTACAATAATTTGATTACATAATATTTTTGCAAATTTTTAATAAATTGTATAAAATCTGCAACCAAATATTTTCATGTAAATTTATCATTTATGGAAATGGTAAATTTTACTCTAAAATCTAAATGGTATCTTTTTGAAAAACTACACTGGTGTTACCTGTTTTAACGCCAAACACACATTTTTTTGAAATTATAAAACATACAACTTCCGGCTTGTAATATTTTATTTTATAATAATAACATTAGTCTAATGTCACGAAATAATGTTTTTGTATTATGTTAATTTTAGAGAAAATGGCTTTTATGTTGGCAGTACCGGGTAATCATTTTCTTAACATTTTATTGATATATTTCCACATAGCTATTTGGTGTTCATTAAGTAAAATGTTTTAATTTTAATTTTAGAAAGTGAAAACGCAAATATTGAAGGTACCTACATGTAAATTATTTACATATATTGAGATTTGTCATAGACTTAGATAATAATTTCTATCATATCAAATGATGAAAGTTAACATTTATGTTGTTATAAAATGTAGAAAAGTTATTGTACCAGAGCTGTATGCAAACAGAAATAATAGCAGCCACAGGTAATAAATATAAACTTTAAAATAAACTCTAAATTCTCAAACGAACAATACATTTAAAATTATTGTAATTGGGTTCTAAGCAAAAACGATACAATTAGTCGATTGAAGTTTTTAAAATTAAATTATTTGTCTAAATACTCTTAATTTTAGTTTAAATGTTGTAGGAAAAATATAAAAATGTATTTTAGGTTTTTTTAATGTATAATAATTTGATAATTAATATTTTGGTTATAGGAATCGATGTACCTGTGTTACCTGAGACAGCCGAAGGTAATAACAATCATTTAGGAGTTAGGGTTATGTGCTGAGAATGGCAATGGCCCTATAACATCTGCAAGACGAATCTTCTGGTTAATTTGAAGCGACTAGAGAGCTCCCCTGTCTTTAGAATATTGTTTTAGAATCTTAAGATCATTACTACGGTGAAAAAGAAGAAAAACAAATTCCGTGGAAAAGATTTATGGTATTTTTTTAGGATAGTCAACGTACATTCATTTGACAGAAGTCGAAATATATTTAAAAATATTAAACACTAAAATTTGTATATACATTTGCAAATAATTCGATAAACATTTTAGCGCGCCTTAACTCTAAGTTGAAACATAAATTTGTTTTAGGTATTTTACTAGATTTAGAAGGGTAAGGTGTTGACATTTAAAGTTCTATATCAATATAGTATTTTTTGGGTACTTATGGTAGGTTCTACGAAAAATGACAACAAAACAGTAATTCTATTAACTGTAATGCAACTCTATCAAGTACTATAGCAACTTATTAAGTATTCTTGTTTTTTTTTTGTAATTGTTATTAAGGAGATTTTGAAAACTTTGATCTGTCAGACTTTGGACGTACAAGAAGAAATATGACTAGTGCAGCTGTAAAGGCTTTAATCCGTAGTCAAATACGTAAATATTCATTTAAAATTTGTTTACCATTTTAAAGTAACTATTTGCATTAAAAAGAAAGCGGTCGGTTTTGTGAACATTTTAGATCTAAAAGCATGACAAAAAATATAATAATTGATTTACAGCCATTTATTATCTTAACAATAACACACAACTTAGTTTTTTTCTAAAACAGAAGTATGGAGCTCATAAAACATTTGGTAAAAAACATTACTTGGGAAAAAAAAAAGATTTTAAATTTGTAAAAATATTTTAGTTTATTAGCCTCTTTTTTATTTTATTGTTGGAATCGATTTTTGATATTTCAAACAAAATTGTGTTTAAAAATAATTTTAGGTATATCTTAATTGAATTTCTCAAATCTTTGGTATTCGCTTCATCGGCTTATTTAAATATATCAAAAATGTATGTTAATAATAGACTTTCACAATAACCTAGAAAAAAAAATCGGTTATCTTAATCTTTATTTATATCTTTATCTTAATCCCCATCTCTAACTCCAGCATCACCTGTTTCTGTATATATATATCTCCATCTTTATCTCTATCTTTGTTTTCATCTCAAACTCTATCTCCAGCATCACATGTATAATTTTCTTCATCTCAAGCTCCATGATCACCTATGTCTGTATCTCCATCTCCAACTCCAGATTCAGAATTTGTCCTTTCACTTGAGTTATTGTTCTTTGATTATTTTTGTTCTTGTTTCAATTGTTAACATGCTAAAACTTAAATTTCAAATTAATTGATTTAAATTATATAAGTTTCTGTTAAAATTAATTATGGAGCAAGTTGTGATATTATGTTCGAGTTTACATGAAGGATTCGAGGATGATAAGTGTTTTATCTTTTATCAAAAAAATTATTGAATTAGATTAACATTTTTGTACAATACGGATACACTGCAGTACATTGTATTATTTTTCTATGGTTTATTATATACATGTCTATAAATTGTGTGTTGCTAATAAATAAATGTAGTAACAAAATATGTGTCAAATTTGGATTTCTTCTTTTTTTTTTTAGGTGGAGACACGAACTTTAGTGTGAATTTCACAGAATATCATTTGTGTTCTTTAATAGGATTGTTCAAAAGTATACAACATCCACCATTTTATGTAGATATTGCTTGTGTCGATATATATGGAACTTGTTTCCTTATGGATGTGAACAGAAATATTAGTAGATACAGATCCATTGATGGCAGTATTTGGGAAATTAACGCTGACTTTACTCCATTTCAGCCACTTTCTTTTCAAGTACAATTTTAAGGACAACCTTTTTTATAGTACCACTATTATAATTGCTATATATATATATATAAATTATTTTTACATACCTTCTTCTATTCAAATTGTCAATAAATAATAAATTGTTAAATACATTATATTTAACAATAAAAAGTTTTAAACACAATATTATAAACACATTTGTTAATTATGTGTTTCTATTATCACTCTATGATGAGCTTCCAACTTACACACAGTAATATTTGGAGCCACTATAGATTTTTTAAAAATGTTGACTTGCTTACCTTTTTAATATGTCTAAAAAAATTTACTATATCCAGAAAAACGACCAATTAAACCCATTTATTATTTTTTCACCTCTACTTAATGTCTATCGTTCAATACGATTCTCATCGATGGACTATCATTTAAAGTAATATATGGTTTAAATCTTTAATGTAAATATTAACACTACGAATGACATATCAAAACCTTCATTTAAAAAAGTAAAAAGTCTGAACTTGCATTATGAAATACAAGGTGATCATTTTCATTATCGTGAACAACTCGAAATTTCAGTGGGTTAACTACATTTTTTTTAAAGTGTTTTTTATATAATGTGAACTCAATTTTCCACAAAATTGTATGTTCCAACTACCCTGTCCAGACTAATTGTTTTTATATTAACTTTGTAAACTTAAATGTTAACGCATGGTACATTTCATTAACTTTTTCAATTGAGAATAATGTACTACACATTTTGATTGGTCGACAACCAGTTTTGGATAACTATTTTTGAAGTTATTTAAGTGACAATTTTAGGGCAGGATGGCGCAATTCCCTTCCCGTCCTAACTTTTTTAAATCTTATAACTTTGAAAATAGTGGTAAAAAACTGATCAACCAGTCAACATTGTTGATTAAATATTCTTAATTTAAAAAGTTATAAAAATATATAAGTTACCATTTAAGTTTCATCAGTTGATATAAAGGTAATTAGTTTGGTATGGGGTAGGAAAATAAAATTTACGGAAAATCGAAATCACATTATAATATAAAGACACTATGAAAAGAAAATTTAGTTAATACCTAAACCCATTGAAATATTGACAGTGGTTCAGGATAAAATGATCACCCTGTATATATATATATATATATGATATCATATAAAACAACTTTAATAAAAGAGCTCAGTAAATAAATGAACATACCTTGCAAAATATATTGTATTAATTCTTAATCTTTTGGCAAAAAGTCCAACTACACGTCTCAAAAAAATTACTTGAAAACAATTTAAAAAGCAGTCGATTGGATAATCTGCTTATAAACTGTATCGTTTCAATAATTTAACAGCTAATAGTAATCAATATCGAAGATTGTAAGTATACTATTCATATATTCTGTTTAAGTAATTATTTATTTTTGTATATTTGTACCCGCTTACGATATCTTTTGAACCACTAAGAAACAAAACGCTATATTTGTATATTACACGTTGAATGTACTTAAAATATGTATACAGGGTGGCTCACAATGATTTGACAAATGGAATAACTCTTGTTCTAGTGAATATTAAAAAAAAAAAAATAATTTACACTCATTTAACAACAAAAATAATATAATATATCAACAATAATTGTTGGCACTATCTTAAGACATAAGAGCTAACAATGAGACTAAAAATAGTCTGATATATATATATATATATATATATATATATATATATATAAACTGTGCTAGAAATTGGTTTTTATTATGGAAAAACTCGAAAAAATTGTATTTTGAGTTTATTAACTTGAAAATTCGTATACGGTCTAATATATAAGTATCAATTAACTACATAAAATTTAGTATAATTAATTATATGATACATACAAGTAATGTGTTAGGATAACATTTAGTAGTTTTTGTAATTATTTTGTGCGATTAAAATAGCATCAGACGAAATTGAGGACCTTATGTCATTCACCTTACGATCAACAAACTTAAATTCGTTTTATTGTTTGTATAACATTATACAAACTTATACGTTTTAATAAAACGTATATGTTTATCAACATTTTTATCCGATAGAATGGCAGACACAATAATATGTACTTAAAAGCTTATAAAACTATTGCAAACGTTAACTTTTTGAGTGGTATTTAAACCAATAACCGAAATAAAAATAGTCTTAACTTGCGTCAGGATAATGTAAATAATATGTTATCATATTAAAACATAAAAAATCAGCCATGTAAATAAATTAAAAATAGCACCCATAAAATGATATTAAAACTTTACTGTTTCGGCGACAAACAAACGGTACCTAGATAATATAAAAACGGTTAACAAGCTAGTCGAATTGTATTTTGCTTATAAGTTCTATCATTTAATAAATGCATTTCAGTAATACTAACCAACTTCTAATACTGTAAGTACATTGCTTATACAAAAAAAAAATATTGTATTTTTAAGTTGAAAAATGTAAACATTTTTAAAGCTTTTTCAGAATTAAAATTTTTTTAAAATTATTTTTGCAGATAAAAATGAAATTTGTATGTATTTTAATATTATTTACCTTGGTAAATAACTTAATAGCAGAATTAGGTGATTATAATTTTTTTTACGCGTACTTCAACTAGTTAGTCTAAAATTAAACCTCATTATTACTTTACAGATGAATATGATAAGCAAGTTATCATAAACAGTAAGACATTTTTTACATACAACATTTTTTTATAAACTAAACTATGTTTATGTAATTTATTACAGACCAACTCATCGAGCTTGCAGGAGGTAAAATATATTTAAAATACATTAACCAATATGGTATTTTTTTTGTTGATTATTATCAATTTATTTATGAATGAAAAATTATAATTTCTAACCCCCTTACAAAACGAGACGCCTTAACTAAAATGGTAACCAGTTTGAATATACTCCTATTCTGATGATTTTTATTTTAATTGAAACTTTAAAAATAATATAATATTGTGGGGGTAAAAAAATAATGTATGTTTATTTTTTCCCGTGTGTCTCAAACGGTTCACAAAAATACAGACATGTCATTGAGATACTCTAATAACTGTAGTTGCAACAAAAAGTAAAAAATTTAATATCTTGGTCATTCCGCACTGTAGATGGTGATGATCGTTTTGAACGTCTCCACATTCTCATTATTTAGCTCGTCCCTTGTTGCTTAACCGGTGTATTTGTTTATTCCAGTGCAAATGCTGGGTATCATTCGAAACATTGTTCGCGGACCTTCTTCGATGAGTAATCATAACTATAAACTAAATAAAATTATAGCAATAATAATTGAGCATGGTAGAAGATGAAATTATTTTCAAATGAAAATATATATGATGTACAATTTCATTAAATAATAGTTTTGAAAATCTGCAACAAATTGTTTTCAAGTAAATTCATCAGTTATGGAAATTAGTGATGAAAATGTTAAATTTCCGACTTTAATCTAATTTTATCAAATAATATTTGTATACTATGTTAATTTTAGAGAAAATGGCTTTTATGCTGGCAGCACCGGGTAATCATTTTCTTATCAACTTATTGTAATATTTCAGCGTAGTTATAATATGATATTCATTAAGCAAAAATGTTTTAACTCTAATTTTAGAAAGTGAAAACGAAAATATTGAAGGTAATGGTAAATTATTCATGTGATTAATTGAGTATAATAATCATAGGCTTAGATATTATTTCTATCACACCAAATGATGAACATTAATATTTATGTTGTTTCAAAATGTAGAGAAGTTATGGTACCAGAGTTGTTTGCAAACAGAAATAATAGAAGCCACTGGTAAATATTAAATCTGAATTTCTTATACGACCAAATATTTTTAATTATTGTAATTGGGTTCTAAACAAAAACGACAATATTAGTCAATTGTTACATTTTTAAATTGATTATATTGTCTAAATACTCTTAATTGTAGTATAAAATGTTGTAGATAAATATTTTTTTATTTCGTATAATAATTTGATATCTTATATTTTGGTCGTAGGTATCAATGTACCTGAGATAAACGAAGGTAAAAAACAATCATTTAATCATTTTTCGAAGGTTTTGCTTTGTAAGTAGCAAATGCACAACATAACAGTTATTTTATTAACTGTCATGCAACTCTATCAAGTACTAGAGCAACTTATTGTAATAGAAGAAAAGCAAGGGGAAGTGGCGGTGAATGGTTATTTTAAATATTTATATATTGGTCTCTTAATCGGGTGTGCATGTGTGTACATTTACTACAAGAGCTCACTTCCTGCCTCTAGATTTACCATTACACAGTGTTGTAATATCGTATATAGTACTTACCTTGTCGTGGAGTTACTCGAAGCTCTATGACCTTGGCGATATCCCTTGAGTATGCGATGTTGATATGCCGAGATGAACGTTATTCTAACGCGAATGTTTTCGTTCATAAAATATTTCAGACACTGGCGTTTTAACGTTATCCTACGATAATCTGTTTCTCGTTTAAGTGTAATTCAGTACACGGTCTACCAATGGTTTTATATAATACATCAATGCGCTTGTCAGAAATAACAACGTCTACTGAATTATTATAAGCCGACTACATTCCTCGCTGACCAAAAGTAGTCACGTGGGTGTAACAGGATTGTTCGACCACTAGAATTAATGTCTTTTAACGATACTTTTAAGAGGCAAATAATTAAGTGTGGTATATATATATATATATATATATATATATATATATATTGGACGAAAGAACAACAGTGTTTTTATTGGTTGAATAATGACACGTGTGTGATAAGAAACTCGTACGATTTAAGTAATCGAACTGTAATGAATATAGTATCTTTTATGTATCGCGACGGACTTGGCGTATGAGTGTGTAAGGATAATAAGGAATGATTAGGATATTGGTGGCCGCGGCGGACTGATAACAGCTACCCGACATTGGCGTCCACACAATATGGAAAGGAAGGTTGAATGAGAGATGTAAGAAGACAACTGCGCTTCGCTGCGCCGTAAGCTGGGTTAAATAGTGCGTTTTTGTGTCGGTTAAGTTCGTGTCGAGTCGTGTGTCCCCGACCCCTTCTTTAATGAACTTATTGTTATGTAAATGTTACGCCTCCCATGAGTAGGTACGCTATCTATTAGAGTATTTAAAGTTGATTGAAATTATTCAAAGAGGTTCTATATCACACTACGCGCGTTGTATATTGAATAATAATAACATGATAGTTATATAAAAATGTCGCTTATAGTATAAATTTGAATATAGAATATGTTATATTACAAAATGATGAGTTTAATAAGTGTATTTAATATAGTTAAAACTTAAACATATGATTTATGTTACTACATTATAATGATTTTTTTTTTTTTTTTTATGTAATTATTGTTATTAAGGAGATTATGAAAACTTTGATCTGGCAGATTTTGGACGTAAAAGAAGAAATATGACTAGTCCAGCTGTAAAGGCTTTAATCCGTAGTCTAATACGTAAATATTCATTTGGAATTTGTTTACCATTTTTAAGTAACTGTTTGTATTAACAAGAAAGCGGTCGGGTTTGTGGATATTTTAGATCTAATAGTCTGACAAAAACTATAATAATTGATTTACAGTAATTTATTACCTTAACAATAACACACAACTTAGTTTTTCCCTAAAATAGAAGTATGGAGCTCATAAAACATTTGAAAACTTGACTAGACTCTTTTTGTCAAGTATCATTATGATTAGACTTTGTCTTTTCAATTTAGTTATTGCTCTTTGATTGCTATGTAGTTGTTTGAATTGTTGGATTCTTTCGGTTTTAATATCAAATCATTAAAAACAATTTAATTTCTTAACAATTACCTAATACATTATTGTAACCATAGTTGATGTTTGTACTTATGTGTTATTTAGTCATCACTAACAAACATTTTTCTTAGAATACACAATCAACAACAAAGTTATAATTGACAAAGTAAAATTGAAATTACAAATTAATGTTTTTTTTATTATATGTTTCTATTAAAATTTATCATTAAAATAAGTTTGATCAAATAAAGAAATGTATTAACAAAAAATGAGCTTAATTTGGTAATTTTGTTATTTTATTTTTAGGCGGAGACACCAATTTCAATGTGGATTTCTCAAATTATAGTATGTGTCGTTTATTAGGATTGTTCAATAGTATACAACACCCAGAAGTTTATGTAGACAATGCTATTCTCGATATTAATAGAGTTTGTTTCCTATTACATCCGGACATGAATATTATTAGATACAAAACTATTAACGGCATTATTTGGCAAGTTCACGCTGACTTAACTCCATTTCAGCAACTTTCTGTGCAGATACAATTTTAAGGACAACCTATTCTATAGTATAACTATTATCGTTGCTGTATATAAATTGTTTTTACATACCTTCTTCTATTCAAATTGTCAATTAATGTTATGTATTTAACAATAAACAATTTTAATCACGATTATAAAACCATTTGTTGCTCATTTGAAAAGATTTTAAGAGGTATAGTAGATAGTGGGTATTATCATTGAGTATATATTGTATACAATATATACTCAATGGTATTGTATACCTTGTCTGCATTGTAATAGAAATCATAAATAATGTAATGTATAATTGCGAAAATGTTTTTGTTTTTGTAAATAATAAAATCTTAATAGTTTGTAGTAAATCTGATAGATGTTATCTGCTATTACTTGTTTACATTGCCATAGGCGTTGTGAAAAAACACTTATCATTTTATGTAATAAAGAATTTGTATACAATACTATAATATGATCCTCCAACTTTAAAGAAAAATTGTTAGCATTGTAATACCTTACATTCTAATATACAGGGTGATATTTAGAGCCGAGGTGATATTTATTCTAAGTAATTTTTAATTTTCTAACAAAAAAACCCGGTTTTGGAACGAAAGCTATATACCTACATAATATTTAATAGAAAGTAGATGGCTTACAACGATTTTAACATTGATATGTTATTGAGCAACGACACATTAAAAAAAGAAAACAGTCTGAACTTGCGTCAGTGTAATGCAAATATAGTCATATAAAAAAAAACAACTAAGCAAATAAATGAACATAGGCACCATGCAAGATCTATTTTGATTTTTCTGTTTCTGTCGACAAAAAGCATAACTATACTATACAAAAAAAAACACTTTGAAACAATTTAACAATCGGTCGATTTGGTATTATGCTTGTAAATTCCATCGATTCATCAATTAAATTAATTAAGACTAATCAGCATCAAAATGGTAAGTAATAGTTATTTATATATTTTGTTAAGTTTAAATAATTATTAATTTTTGTATCTGCTAGCGATAACTTTTGAACCGATAAATTAATTTCATTTAATCGCAAAGCTACTTACAGAAGTTGTAAACGGCATAATATTCGTAATATACATAATATGGTATTTCATCACGCCAAATGTAATAATAATTTGTTAACAATGTTAAGAATCAAAATTCATCAAATAACCTAAATTTTACTGTATTGTTTGTTATCCTAAAACTACTTCAAGTTGTACCATTCGAAATATAGTTGAGTTAATTAAAAAAATGTTTGTACCGTATTCTACAAGTACTGCAGCACATAAAGTATAGCGTTATATGTACTAGATAATTAAATAGTGGTGGGAAGGGGTTTTTCTTCATGTTATATACTTGTAGGACTGTCCATCAGTGCATGTGTGGCGATCGACGCGTGGGTGCCGTTTTTTTAGGTTAGTTGGAACGATTGGGAACCTAGTGTCGCGTCGGTGAAGTGTAGTCCGGTCGAGTGGGTTACCGCGTGGTGACCGTGACGTGTGAAGGAGAAAACCAGTCCAAATACGAGAAAAGTGTGGTGCACAATTTAATACTCAGGAATGGACTGTTATACCGGGTCGTGGATGGAAGGGAGCTGCCGGTGATACCACGGTCAATGAGAAAAGGAATCGCCATCGCTGCCCATGAGCAAAGTGGTCACTTTGCATTGGCAAAAATAACCGAGGACTATTGGCTCCCGCGCATGCGACGTTATGTGAGGCAGCACATAAATATGTGTATCGACTGTCTGATGACGAACAAACAATCTGGCAACAAGCAAGGGGTATTACACCCAATACCACCTGGTACACGACCATTCGACACGATCCATATGGACCATTCGAGACAGGTACCAAGGGAAATCGGTATTTACTGGTTATCATTGATAATCTGACCAAATATGTGTTGTTACACCCAACCAGGAGTACAGATACCCGTACCTTTATTCGCATAATGACGGAATTCGTCAAACAACGTGGATATCCTAGGCGGATTATAAGTGACAGAGGAAGTTGTTTCACATCAACTGCATTCCAAGAGTTTTGTGCCGATCAGGGGATACACCATGTACTGAATTCGACTAACCATGCCAGGGCAAACGGACAAGTCGAACGGGTTAATAGAACACTAGTACCAATATTAGCCGTACACGCAACAGATCAGTTTCATTGGGACACAAATATCAAGGACATTGAGAGGGAGCTTAATACAGCAGTTTAAATGTTTTTTATGTTGTAAAGGCTACTATAGGTATCCTATTCGAATTCCTAATAGAATTAAAACCAAAACAATTCCCAAAACTGCACTTACATAACAAAAAAATGTATACAAATTTGGATTTTTTTTTTTTTACTATTTTTAAAAAAGGTGTAATTTGATTTTGAAATAAAAATACATAATGTTTATTATTATTATTTGCAGATTAAAATGAAATTTTTTTGTATTTCAATATCTTTGGCATTAGTAAATAATTTGGTAGCTGTATTGGGTGATTATTTTTTTTGTACACATACCTACACTAGTTAGTATAAATCTATAAAAAAAAAACCTAAACTTTGAATTTTTTTCACAGATCGAGATTATCGCATGGACGTTGAGAAAGCAAGTCAGTAAAATTGTTTTTTTCATACTGCGCAAAGGTTTATACTAAATTTATATAATTTATTTTCAGACGCAGAAATCAAGATAGATAGCAAGAAGTAATATATATTTAAAATTAAAATACTTGAAAACCCCCGAGCTAAATAATAAACGTTGTTGTTTGTTAGATCAAGGTGTTTTGCCGGACCTAATTCAAACCATTGTTCGTGGAAATTATACGATGAGTAATTATAATTTTTTAATAAAATGATAATAATAAAGCTTGTTAGTTAAATAAACGTATACATTGAAATAATATAAAAACAGGAAAAACAATACTGTATTTATGCCAATTTATCTGTGATATAAATGATTTACTCTAAAATCAAAACCAAATCTTTTTGACGAACAACGCTGATGTTACCTCTTTTAACGTTACATCTTCATTATATGTATTTTGTTTTACTCCGTTACTTTTGTTTCAATTCAGCCATTTGAACACCATAGTAATAATAACTCAATTAAATTAAATAGATCCGAGTAAATTTTTTCCGTCTTCTCGTTTATTTTTAGAATACAAAATTAATTCTAATATCATTAAATATTACAATTTGTATGTCATGTTGATTTCAGAGCAAATAATGTTGATGTTGGCAAAACCGGGTATTAAGTTACTTAGCATCTTATGAAAATATGTCCACATATAGTTATTTGATATTTATTAAGTATAAAATGTTTTTTTTTAATAATTCCAGAAAGAGATATTAATAGCGATGGTATTACGATGTATGACGACGCAATTGGTATGTGGTATACTCGAGAACGTTTTTTTAATAATTAACTTTTTATTTCTATAATACTATATAGCGTGGTAACTTCAATTTGCTGTGTCTGAATATATTGAAAAAACAAAATAAATTCCTAATTGGTTTGGTTATATTTTTGATAACTGACATCTCTATTTATGTAAGAAAGTAAACATGCGGTGGTTTGACGGTCCATATCAGGTCCCCACCTGACTGATGCGTTTGGCACTTTCTCCATGTTGGTGTCTGTAAATAGGTGTTTGTGTGTGTGTGTGACTTTAATCTCAAATAACTTTTAATGTAATTACCCAAAACTGGTTGTCGACAAGTCAAAATTACCAGCAAATCATGCTGGATAAAATACCTAGTCGGAATTAAAAAAAAACACATCTAGAAAAAAAGTTATTTAATTTGTAATTTGTAAAACAGCCCGTATTATTACTTCAGTATACAGAGTGCTTTTAGTGCATTTTTTATATTCATTGAGTATAAGTAATACATACTTACATATTGATTTCAATCATAATAATTATTATTTATGTAAATTAAATTTATTTTGCTCTGTATTTTAGCTAATATACAAACCCAGAGAGACTTGCGAACAGAAATATTGAGAAAACTACGTAAATATGACTTTTGACTATTTTATACGAACGACTGTTAAATATGATACTATATAATTTTTTTATTCTCAATCTTAGGACAACCGTTATAGATAAAATATAAAATAAATGATTCCTTCGGCCGATTAATTGTTTGATATTTTGTTTCAGCTTTTTACAGGTTTCCTGTGACACCAAGTAATCAAAATAATATTTAATTTTTTTAGAGGTTTTGCTCAGTTTTAATCGCTTAAATTATCGGTGACTGAGCATACTGTTTTAGAGGTTGGTTTTAAGTAATAATGGTGGGCTGTACTAAATTTGGCCACATCACAGTTCTTTAAAATCGAATGCAACTATATGAAGAGCAACTGAATTTATTTTAAGTTTTTTTTTATATTTGTTATTAAGGGAAATATGACACTATGAGTATGACAGATATGGGCAATGAAAGAAGAAAATATTGTAGTGAAGCCGTAAAAGAATTAATGGGTTTTGTAATAAGTAAATATGCATGTCGAATTTATTTACCTTTATAAAATTAATCACTAATTAATGTATTAATTAGTAAAAAAAAATATAATTAATTTACAGACATTCATACTTATCACAGTCACACATATATTGATATTCGTTTGAACATAGAAGTACAGAGCTGACACAACGTGGTTATTGACTAGACTCTTTTATCTTTTAAATTTACTTCTTGTTTGTTTGAGTATGAACTCAATTATGGTTTAAACTTTAACAGCTTGGTATTGCATCTTTAAAGTTTAACACATTTTATTGATAATTTTCCATGACCAACATAAAAATTACAATTATTTTTAAGATATTTAAAAATTAGCCATTGCCAATTTAAAGCTTGATGTTAATTATTTTTAAGCAATTGTATTTCTTAACAAATACCTAATGGGTTACAACTAGAGTAGAAATTCGTACTTAGTATATTAAGTAGTAAGTACTTTGTATATTAGTGTATGTAGTGGCCACACATACTTTCTTATTATACATAATCAATTACGGAGTCTTGAAAAAGATAAAACTTCAACTTTGAATGGCAATGTTATTTTTTTAAATATAAATGTTTCTAAGTTACTTATAAT